CGGATTCACCAGCATCTGCAGTTCCTACTATCTCTAGTCATCTGGGATATCCTTTTGGTTTTACTCTTGGTAGCATGTGGCACTTGTTGTAATCCTGAGATTACTACCTTTCGAGGTCCAACTTTCTAATTTATGTGCCTAATCTCTATTTTCTTCCTCTAGGGCCTCGTCCCTTTTCTCACCCATGTTGTTGACACTGATATGCACCACAGCTGATCACTGTTTGCTTACCTTCTCCTTTCAGAATGCTCTGCAGCCACATTAGGATATCTTTAAGGCCAGCACCTGGGAAGCAACATCTTGTCCTGGAGTCTCATTTGCAGCTGCAAAAATACCTGTCTACCCGCCTTAGTATCGAATCCTTTATCACTATAGCCCTGCAGTTCTCTTCTGCACAGAACCAATGGTGCTGCCATGGTCTTGGCTTCTGCTACTCTCCCCTGAAAAGTTTCTTGCTCAACAGTATGCAAAACAGGAAACCTGTTAGTGAGGAAGGCCAGCCACATGGGACTCCTGCACTACCTCTAGTCCGCTGGGTGGTTGCCCATTCCCTTTCAGCCCGTTCAGCCTTTACCTGAGGTGTGTTATTCACATCACTGAATATCTCTGCAGGTGTAGCAGATTGGTCACCTGCTCCAGGAAACCTGCCAGAACAACAGTTGATGGATTAATCAAGTGAGACAGATTCTGATGCATGAGATTTCAAGGAACTGGTGACTGAGGTGGAGAGAGTCGAGAGCGTCAAGGTCTGAGGAGTGACAATAACGAATAATCTGAACCTCCCATGTAGATGTGATGGTCAAAAAGGCACAACAATGCCTCTTCTTCCTCAGGCTTAGGAAATTCAGCATATCCGTTAAGGACCCTCACCAACTTCTACAGATGCACCATAGAAAGCATTCTATCCGGGTGTGTAACAACTTGGTACGGCCACTGCTCTACAGAAAGTTGTCTGCACAGCCCAGACCATCATGGAAGCCAACCTCCCTGATCCATGGACTCCATTTACACTTCTTGTTGTCATGGAAAGTCTGCCAACGTCATCAAAGACCCCTCCCAGCCTGGCAATACTTTGTTCCAACCTCTTCAGTTCAGGCAGAAGATACAGAAGATCGAACATTCGCACCAACAGATTCTTCCCCAGTGCTATTAGACTGCTGAATGGGTCTCTCTAATTTCAACTCTAATATTAATCTTGCTTTGTGCACCTCCTGTGCAGCTGTAACTTTATATGCCTCGCTCTGTCTGAGCACACTATGATCTGTATGTCCTTGTTTACTATGATTTGCCTGTACTGCTCGCAAACTAAAACTTTTCACTGTACTTAGGTACACGTGACAACAATAAATCAAATCAGAAAACATTGTGAGTATGTACTATTGCTTAGTAGTTTAATAAAGCTGCACCATATTAAATGAAATCATGTCCAAGTTATTATGCACCATTGATATTATGGCCTGAAGCTTTAGAATTAATAAGAAGGTTTTACAGGAAATAATGGAGGAAATTGAGGGGGTACTGGTCATAATCTTCCAATCCTCTTTAGATATTGAAGATGTGCTAGAGGATTGGATAATTACAACATTACACACTTGTTTGCAAAAAGGGTATAAGGATAAATCCAACAATTAGAGGCCAGTCAGTTTAACCTTAGTGATGGAAAAGCTTTTAAATGTTGGCCACTTGCAGGAATATGGATTAATTAAGAAAAGTCAGCATATATTTCCAACAAGTTATGTCTAACTGACTTGATCGATGTTTTATAATGATATACGATAAAGTTCAGGTATGTATTGCAGCTTATGCGGTGTATATAGACTTCCAGAAGCCACATAATAATTAACACACATACCAGTGAGACTGAAAACCCTGGACTAAAAGAGATAGTGACAGCATAGCTACCAAGTTGGCTAATAATGGGAAACAGAAAGTGTTGCAAATGGTTATTTCTCAGACTGCAGCAATATACAAAATGGGGCTTCTCAGAGTGGGTAGTGGGACAAATACTTTTCTTGATCTACATTAATGACTTCGACTTTGGTGGCGGGGCTCAATTTCAAAATTTGCAGTCAGCACAAAACTTGGATGTATAGCGGAGGTGGACACCGAGAGAAAACTGACAGGTTAGCACAGAACTGGCAGATAAACTTAAATACAGAGAAGTGAAAAATGATACATTATGACAGAAGAATCAATACAAAATATAAAATAATGGAGACTCACAAACACAGAGAACTGGAGATATTTGTATGTAAATTGTTGAAGATGATGGGCAGGTTAAGAAAGTGAGTGAAAGGAAAAGTGTATGAGATCCTTGCATTTTTAATTAGAAACATAGACTACAAAAGCAAGGAAATTAGGATTAACCTTTATAAAATCTTTGGTTTCAACTGGAGAATTTGTTCTTATTCTATGCACCAGATTTTATCAAAGAAATGAAGGCTTTAAGAAGGATCTATTATAGTTTCCTAAAATAATTCCTGCAATGAGGAACTTCAGTCAGGTGGATGGATTGAAACAGGGATTGTTCTCCTTAGATGAGAAAGAGTTGGGAGGAGATTTGATGAATGATGAAGGTTCTAGGCATTGTAGCTGGAGACAAGCGCCCGGAACCAGATATTACAAATTTAAAATGATTTACGAGGGAATCACTAAATAATCTGCAGTGATTTATCCGAGTGGCTTTGTGAAGAATGAAACAGATTAGGAATTCCAAAAATTCCACTTGTCTTCTGTAAGCAATCAGCACAGATTTTTCTACTGTGTAGCATTAAAATCTTTCCTTTTTCAAAATTACACCAATTTCACCAACTTCTTCTGTAATTCATTGAAATAACTGCACTACCCAATAACATGTTGAGCAATGAGCTACAATACTCGCATCACCCAGAGACATAGAAAATTGTCCAGCAACATCCTATCCACAAAATGCAGAACAAATCCAACCTGGTCAATCACCACCTCATCAGTCTACTCTTGAACTCCTGCAAAGTAATGGATGGGGTTGTTGACTATCAAGGGGCACGTGCTCAATGATAACCTGCTCACTGATGCTTAGTTAGGGTTCTTCCAGGGTCGCTCAGTTCCTATTTTTGTCACAGTCTTAATTCAAACTTGGCCAAAACAGCTGAACTCCAGAGGTGAGGTGAGAGTGACTGCCTGTGACATCAAAGTAGCATTTGACCAAATGTAGTGTCAAGGAGCTAAGCAAGACTGGAGTCAATGAGAATCAGTTAAACAATCCACTAGTTGGAATCATAGCCTGCACAAAGTAACAAGGTTATGGTTGTTGGAAGTTAATCACCTCAGTCACAAAGACACCACTACAGGAGTTCCTCAGGGTAATGTTTTATGTGGAACCATTCTTAGCTGCTTCATCAATGACCTTCCCTTTATCATAAAGTCAGAAATGGGGACATTCACTGATGATTGCACCATTTCAGCACCATTTGTGGCTCCTCAAAAGCTGAAACAGTCCATGTCGACATGCAGCAAGACCTGGATAATATCCAGGCTTACACTGATAAGCAGCAAGTAAAATCCACACGACACAAGTGCCAGGCAATGACTACCACTAAAAAGAGAGAATCTAACCATTACCTCTTGACAATCAATGAAATTAACATTTTTGAATCCTCCACTATCAACATCCTGGGGTTACTATCGACCAGATATTGAACGAGGCCAGCCATATAAATACAACTGTCACAAGGATAGTCACAGGTTAGGAATTCTGCAGCAAATAACTTACATTCTGACTCTCCAAAGTCTGTCCACTACCTACAAGTACAAGTCACGAACGTGATGGTATGGTGCACTCCAGAAGCTTGAGACAAAGCAAGCCACTTCATTAGTTTCCTAACTAGAACAACATTCAATCTCTTCAACACCAATGCACAGGAGAAATCCGCCAAGCTTACTTCAACAGTGCGTTCTACCTAAAGAGCAAGGGTGGCATATTCACGGAAATATCACCAGCTGCAAGTTCCTCTCCAAGAGGCACGACATCCTGACTTAAATATATCACCGTTCTTTCAATGAATCAAATCCTGGAACTCCTAACAGCCCTCTCCACCCGCCCACAACGATGGACTGTGGCTCACGAAAAATTTCTCCAATGTAACTGGGTAAGCAGAGTTGATACTGGCCAACCAGTGGCGTTCACGTCTCACAGCTGATTTTTTTTAAAAAGGGGTGCAAATGAGGCCATGGCCTGTTCAGTCAGCATTCCTCAGTCTGATGCAGTTATTATTTCTTTCAGTCTCTCTAGGTTACGGATAAGGAAATTAATGTCATACTCAAAAGTACATGCGTACAGCAAACTTTGTTTTAACTGGCACCTTATGAACCAGCACGCTCGATAAACCAACAAAAATTATGTACCTTAAGTAACAGTTTATTATTCTGTTCAATTAATTTAGTTTTTTTAAAAAATTATTTACCTCAATGTAAATATATTTGGTGTTCGAATGGCCGCACAAAATATCAACAGTTCATTCAATTTCGAGTCAATTTCTCCTCAAATACTACAATCCATCACGATGTCTGAGTAGTCAGTTGAGGGTGTGAGTGGGAGTCTGCCTGTAAGTTTTATTTAAGGTGCAGTTGCATTATTATTTAAGTGATTTATGCTGTAAATACAGTATAACAGTTTCTATGACTTAGGATGGGTTTTTACATTGTTTATGTGGACCTCTTGATTATCTGGAATATTTGATCAATTGGACCCATAGGTGCCGAATAATAAAAAAAAAGTTTACTGTATAAACATCCGGTGAAGATCTGATCAAGCACAGTTGATTTTGCCAGTGGGGACACCAGTGACCAGCAGCTTGAAGTGGGGATACCAGTGACCAGCAGCCTGAAGCTGGGATACCAGCGACCAGCAGCTCGAAGTGGGGATACCAGTAACCAGCAGCCTGAAGTGGGGACACCAGTGACCAGCAGCCTGAAGCGGGGATACCAGTGACCAGC